GAGACTGGGGCAGACACGTGGGGAGAATGGAATAAATGGCAATTGGTGAATCAAAAAAAGATTCCAAATAATAATGGTGGGGCTGGTATTAAAATATTGAATGTAATCAAAGTAGAGAGAGAATATTATGGAAATTGTCTACCACACAGGCAGGGGAAGGGTTGGGATGGTGGGGATACGGGGATTTTGGTGGCAGAAAATGTGCACTGGTGAAGGGATAGGTGTTTGATCATTCTATGACCAAAACTCAAACATGAAAACTTTGTAACTGTATCTCACGGTGATTCAATAAAAAAAAGAAAAAGAAAAAGAAAGAAAAAATAGAGTTAATAAGAATTACAAAAGCCAATATTCACCTGGCAGGGTGACTAAATAAAATTCAGAATAAGAAAAATGTTTAATTCAATTTGATTTCTCCAATGCTTAGCACAATGTTCACACTTGGCAGACAAGCAAAAATATTGGTCAATTTATGTTGTTTATTACATTTCTCAAGAAACTATTCGTTAATAACAATACACTTAAATTCAACATCATTAGGATTTACATAAGATTCAGTAACAAATTTGAATGCAAAGCATAATGACATTCATTAACTTGCTAATTTGTTGTCATTATTATTATAATCCAAACATTGGATTATACTTTGATAAATTCTTTATGCATTTTGAATTAATTTCATAACACTCTTATAGCCTAAGTATCATTATTAGTTAATTTTAAATCTATTTATACAACTTGCCAAAGTCACACAAGCAGGGGTACCAAGGCTATGCTCCAAGGCCAAGTTCATTTCCCTTCAAACTTATGATCTTATGTTCTTAACTAATCTGTATTACTAAAATAGGCTAAATCTGTTTTCTTAAAAGAACCATATTTTTGATCCATAAAAACAGTTTTTGGCAGACTAGTAAGTGTACAGAAAATGTTAGTCTGTGTTAATGGCTATACATTATTAATCAATTACCACTTACTAGATGATTTATTGCTTAATTCCATTTAGTTGACAAATCAGCTGAATTTTTCATATGCACTCATAGAACAAGCTAAATGAAGGGATTCACATAGAGAGAGTATCATGTTCACTCCAGGTTACTATTAGGAGCATAGATTATTTGTAGCATTTGTACTTTAAAGTCTCAGAGTCATTAAAATGTGGACCAGCAACCTGCATAGTTGGATATTGATAAGAACATGGATGCAGAAGGAGATTCAGTAGATACTTAAATGGCAAAAAAGTATAGGGCAAGTTTCACATATCCTGCAGACTGCAGGTTTATATGATAATAAATAATAGTTATCACCAGGACAAAGGAAAAAATGTCATGAAATCCAATAGCGCAGTGAGAAATCTGCTAATACAGGTGGTCAGACTTGCTCCATTTCTTTGTGAAAGGGAGGCTATTTATTTGCTTCTGGGTATAAATTACACAGTCATTTACTGTTCAAAGTTTTCTGGTAGGTAGATGTAAAAACCTTTGGGCTTTAAACTTAAAGTTTGTAAGAAGAAAAGGAGTAAGAATTTACTTTTCCAACAGCATAACTGGTACAGAAATTCTAAAAATAAGGTAACTACCCTTAAACATTCTGGTTGGACTCTCCTTTCTGTGTTCACTGGACATGGTCTAAGGGTCAAATTCTGATTATAATATACATATTTTATTATTCTATTTTACCATTTTATTGAGATACAATTATTTATAATAATGTAGATAGTAGGTTCATATATACACTGTTCTACCAAAGAGAGCCCACTTCCCTGCACCAATGTTCAAAAGACACCTTCTATGAAAATACTTTTCATTTGATAATTTCCTAACTGGTAAGATATCGGCGATTTTTATGTGTGTGGTTTATGTATGTGTATGTAAATGTGTATGTATGGGCATATGAGAGACAGAGAAACCAATAATCCTTGCATACAAAATTTAGAAACAAGAGCAAAATATTCATAATGAAACCTTTGTAACTACAAAATAGGTGTTTCCTTTCTTTGTCTATTGTGCAAGTTGGTAGTGGTTCTATACACATCCCCTGAAAAACTGGCAGTGGATATTATACACATTATGTTTACTGTTTCTAAACTACTGGGAACTGATCCTAGTATAGCAGATAGGGCATTTGCCTTGAAAGTGGCTGAGTGGAGTTCATGCTCTATTCAGTCAGCTTAATCAGTGACTGAATAAATAGCAGTAATCCTACATTAAAAAAAAAAGGAAAGTGACTAACCTAGATTCAATCCCCAGCACCCCATAGAGTACCCTGAGCACAGGATTGATTTCTGAGCACAGAGCCAGAAGTAAGCATTAACATCATCTGGGGTGGCCCAATAACTGAATAAATAAACTACTCGAGTCTAGCACTTTCCAAAATTTGGTTGTTTATTAGCAGATTTAAACCAAAAGATAATTTCAAATGAAGGTTTTGATTAAACATTTTAATGATAATTTTCTTGACAATAAATACTTCCTTATCCTAACTAAGTTCATGATTTTATTTTGTAAATTCTTAATTATATATTATAAATTTATTCCCTGGGTATAAAAATTTTCTACTTCAGTTCTCATTGACTGTTTGCCAAGTAACCTTTAAACCAAGACATGTATGTAATTTCCTTATTAATTACAAATATTAACTTCATCAATCTTAGTTCATGACCAAATTCAAAGCTTCCAGGCACAATTCTGATGAGGAATACATTACACAGTTGAAAAATTCAAATTCTAATTTATAATGCCTTGAAAAACAATTAATGATGCATAAAGGGCAATGAGTATACCAAAGTAATCTATATGGGAACTGACCCACAGCAAAAGGTTAAAAAATAAATACGGGTGGTATCAGCATGCTAGTAGACAACTGACAATGAAGAAAACCAAATCTAGTCATCTCCTAGTTATCTGTATATAAACTTGCAAAATATTATCAATAAATGTTAGAAATCATAAAATCCAAAAGACAAAAATTCAATGACTGTGATTATAGCCCTCAACCTTACACTAATAATTAAAAAGTATGTAAAACGTGGCAGAGATATATTAGATCAGCATTTAAAGTGTTTTTTGTTTTGCTTTGTTATGTTTTTGTTTGGGGGTCATACTGGGCATGCTCAATGCTTACTCCTGGGTTTGCACTCAAGGATCACTCCTCGATAAGTACCAGGAGGTTTACTCCATGGCTTGGAGGCCAGCCACACATACTAGGAGAAAAGGCAGTACAGATAGACTAGAGTGCACCAATTAAAGGGTGTTGGGAGGATCCTCCCAGGATGGGAGAAGCATGCTGAAAGTAGACTATAGACCAAACATGATTGCCACTCAATGCCTCTTTAGCAAATCACAGCACCCAAAAGGAGAGAGAACAAAAGGGAATGCACTGCCACAGAGGCAGGGTGGAATGGGGTGATGGGGGTGGGAGGGATACTGGGATCCATGGTGGTGGAAAATGGGCACTGGTGGAGGGATGGGTATTTGATCATTGTATAATTAAAACCCAAACACAAAAATTTGTAAGTCTACAACTGTACCTCTTGGTGTTTCACAGATAAAAATTTTTTTAAAAAAGGATCACTACCCAAAGGGAGTAGTCCATATGGGGTGCCAGGGATGGAAGCTGGGTTGCTTGCTTACAAGGCAAGTGTCCTACCCATTCTGCTATCACTCTCGCCCAGATTTGTTGGTACTTATTCCTAACCTTGGAGAACCCTTTTATTGAATAATAGTGATTAGAAATATTTTCAAATTAATTTTTATTTTAAGCCAAATTTATATGAAGGCTGGAGCAATAGTACAACAGGTAGGGTGTTTACCTTGCACGCGAACAACCTAGCCCACCAACCAGGATTCGATTCCTCTGCCCCTCTCAGAGAGCCCGGCAAGCTACTGAGAGTATCTCGCCTTCACGGTAAACCCTGGCAAGCTCCCCGTGATGTATCTGATATGCCAAACACAGTAATAACAAGTCTCACAATGGAGGCATTACAGGGCCCGCTCGAGCAAATTGATAAAAAGGGGACGACAGTTACTACAGTGTCAATATATGAAGTATTCACATTTTACAAATTAACTTTAAAGTTTAGTTATTGTTGGTTTTTTAGTTTAAAGGCGACACTTTCTGCATGGTTTAGGGGCTACTCTCTACCTTATTCCTTGGGATAATTCCTGGTACTCAGAGGACCAAGTGGAGTCAGGGATCAAACCTGGGGCTCCTAGTTTTACCACAGTCATTGATTCTTAAAACTATGAATACGGTCAGGATACAAAGCACTTTCACTGATTGTATTTTCTTGAATATAAAGATGCACTATAATTTCAGATAAAGATTCAGACTAGGGGACTAGAGCAATAGTACAGCAGGTAGGGTATTTGTCTTGTATGCTTAATTTGTCTTGTATGATCTAGCTATGATCCCCACACCCCAGATAGTCCCCAAGAAGACCAACAACAAATGTACTCTGCATACAAAATATTAAAAACTATCATTACTTAGGGAATTCTTGTCAGGAAAACTATACAATCCAAAAGAAAATTCCAACAATAGATACAACTCACACTTCAGTTAAACTCATCTCCTTGCACAGATCTGACAACTTCATCACGCAGTGATCAGCACCTCTTACTATGAAAGCGAGCTATTTTTTAGCACACAATTTATCAAAGACAGAGTCCTAAGAATGTACTATTCAAATCTGTTTACCAGTAAAAGTTCTACAGCTATAGACACATACACCCACATGCATACTAACTTTCTAGGTGAAAAGACAGCACTTCTTAAGCACTCTCAAATCAGGAACAAGAATGCCATAGTGAAAGTACTTTATTAAGCATACAACAGAAACAATGAAATAAAACAGAGAGATTCATCCAATCTACCATCAATTGTGAAATTTATTTTCCTTAACAAGCAAATAAGATAAAAATGTTGAAAGCAATTCAGAATTAAGTCACAGCAATAGAGGATAGTTACAGAGGAAAAAAAATAAAAGCCAATACCAGTCTTACCTTGGCCATCTGTGCCTGCACCCCATTTGCCTTGAGTGATGCTACTGCTTTCTGTGCAGCTGCAGGACTATCAAAATCTACAAAACCATAACCTGTGGAAATAAAAAAATCCGTTAGTACTCACACAGATTTTCATATTCCAGAGTAAAGAGAAATATGTATTTGCTGTTAGGTTGCATTCATTACCTTAGACAAAAAAAAGGCTCTCAATCTATAGTCCTTAACATATTAGGTATTTTACTGCAATCTTTTCAAATACTGTAAAGAATTTAAAATATTACAAAATATTAAAAAAATAAAAATCATTCTTTTTATTTTTAAAACTCATTTGCAAGTCAGATATGCAACCATTATCCATGATTTAGACTGATTTACTGAGTAAGGCAATATTTCTTCAACAAATTTTATATTTGTTAAATGTTGCAAGCTAAAAAGAGAACAAAATGTTGAAAAATATTTTTAATTCTGTCCCTAAAGTAATATTTCAAAACAATTACATGGTAATTATAACATGGTATTAATAAAAACCCTATAGGGTTTATTTAAACGTATTATAAATAATCTCAATAATAACAGGGTCACAGTGAGCATTCAATAAATACATGTTGACTGAACTTTATACATAAAGGTTGTAAATGAGTGAGAACTTAATTCCTAAGTCAATGAAAATAACATATAATCTTCTTTTGCTCAAAATAATATTTAAAACTATTGCCTCAAAAGATCTGTGATAATAAGTGAACAAATAGACAAATATCCAAGATATTTTAAGAATAATCAAATACCCACATGACATAAGTTACAGGTGTACAATTTCAAAAGTGCAGTAGAAAAGTGACTTGTCTTACTGGTTCTCTCTCTCTCTCTCTCTCTCTCTCTCTCTCTCTCTCTCACACACACACACACACACACACACACATACACACACACACATTTTGTTTTCCTTATGCAAGAGATTAAAGATCAAAAGAGAAGCTTACATAGGCAAAACAAGTGTTCTGTTAGTGAAAATCCGACCCCCCCACCTTTCCATAATGAGTCAGGGTCTCTGATTTTGTGTACCAATGTGGAAATTTTAGGTTGTAAAAGTAGCTAGTAAAATTTAACCAGTGTAAAGAGAATTGTCAATGCCAATAAACTATTTGATATTAGTCTACAGAAAGTGCATATATTTGTCTGACAAATATAGTGTAAATTAGAAGTATCTTAAAATACAAATACTAAAGAATCAGGGGCTTTCTTTTCTATACCTAAATCGCCTATCATATGTATCTTAGCTGTTTTCTCTGTGCTCATTCTTGTCTCATTTAAAGTTTTGAGGTGGGCAACTTAAACAAACCTACTAATCATCTACTGGTATACCATCACCCCATTCCATCCCAATAACCAAAGAATAGTGGAAGGGAATTCAATTACCAACTTGTTTCTTTTAATTAACTTTTTAATTTTCTCCTCTCAAATCCCTTCTTCTTTTCTCCCTCCCAGCATGTTATCCTAAAATGAACTTGTTACACAGCAGTGTACCATGAAATGCACTTGAAAAGCTGGGCAAAGAAGCTGTGAAGTTTCTCTTTCTAATACAAAAGGAAGCCTGCCTTGTAAGTATTGCTAATTCTTCCCTTCCCATGAAATTCAAGCTATGTGGATAATATGAGTATTACCACCCACTAAGCTGAGTAAAATAGGGAAATAAAGATGAAACAAAAATGGAAAACAGAACAAAATAAATTAAAAAGTGTTAGGGGAGCAGAAAATAAAACTAAATTTTAGACATTATCTGCCATGTGTCAGAAACTGTAATGAATGGTTCGTCTATTGATACCTGGTCAAACCCTACTTAAATATTAGATCTGGTTTTTGAAGGGTGGTCTGCATATGCCCTTTCCAGACATGCATATAATGAACTGCATTATATACCTATTTTATAATTTTTATTTCTAATTGTTTCTATTATTGTTAAAATTTCTTTGCTGGAGCCCCAAGTGGTAGTACAGTGGGTAGGGTATTTGCCTTGCATGAAGCAGATTTGGGTTCAATCCCTGGCATCCCATGTGGTTCCCATAGCATCGCCAGGCGTAATTCCTGAGTACAGATCCAGGAGTAACCTCTGAAAATCGCTGAGTATGACCCAAAAAGAAAAAAAAAACTTTGGATTTTGAACTTAGACATGGAATAAAGGAATTCTATAAAAGGATCCAATTCTTCCTAAACACTCAGTGCATTTTTCCCCCCAACGGAATAATTGAGTTCCCAGCAGAATTAAATGAGGTTTTATAAGACACTCCTTTCCACCTCAGTCTTTCCTATTCATTCACACACTTCTTTCAGTCAGTAATGAAGTGCAAAGCTAGACACAAGGAACATGCTATAGAAAAAAAATAGTGCCAGTTTCTAACTTCATGCATCTTACATTTGTATTGAGAGGTAGAAACCAAGCAAATAACCAATAAAATAAATCTAGAATTACCAAGTGGCCTGCTTTCTTTAAAAACTAGATTATGCAATCTAGAAATATTGTCTATCGTTAAACATCTTAAGGAAGAAGTTACATGAGATAAACTGTATTTCTTAAAATATCACTCAGATCACTCCAGCAGAATTTGCTGAAGATCGAATTGATGGTAGGGGAGGTGGACAGTACAACTGGAATCAGGATATGACTTAGGGGCTATTACAACAATCCAGACAAATGGCAACTGGCAAGAAGATAGATGAGAGGGAAGGGATGATTTAAACTATACTTTGGAAACAGAATTAATAGAACTTGGTGATGGATTGACTGGGCTGTAAGTAAAGGAAACTGAGAAGACAAGGATTAGTACTGCTGTGGGGGAATACCCACCAGGTGGGTGGAGATGTGATTTATGAAAATGAAAGCCTGGAGGAAGGAAGTTGGATCTATCAGAGGAGTGGGAAAATTAGAAAATATCTATTTGAGACATGCAGAATCAGAAATACCTGTTGGCATCTGAGTAAAACTGTCAAGCAGCACTTGGATATATTAGGCTGGTGCTCAGAATAGTGGGCAGGATTAGAAATATAAATTATGAGATGAGCAGCCTAAAGATGGTATTTACAGAGGTTAAACAGACAAAACTGCCTCTGGTAGTAGAAACAAAGAGCCTAGAAAATCAAATTGCAGCAGAGCCTGAAGTAGCATCAGAGAGGAAGAGAAACAGTGTTTCCAAGACAAGGTAGAAAAATGTTTCAAGAATAAAGAAAGATTAACTGTGTTGGATTCTACTGAGAAAGAAAACACCCAGTGTATTTTGGTGCATGAATGTTATTAGCATAAATGCCTTTAGGAAATGACTGGGATTGAAGCTTGAGTAGATGAAGAGCAAAAGAAAGAAGAGAAAGGAAACGGGAGTTTATAGCCTTCACTGCCACCATCTTGGCTGGGATAAAAGATTAAGAGACAATGTAGCTAGAGGGGAATATGAGGTCCATGGTGTTGTGTGGGCCTGCTTTAATATATAAAATAATGTTGATTTAACTATAGCTCCATGTTAAATCCCTTTGGATTGGGCAGAGAGAGAGAGAGAGAGAGAAACAGAGAGAGAAACAGAGAGAGAAACAGAGGGACAGCGAGACAGAGAGATAGAGAGAGACAGAGACAGAGAGACAGAGGCAGAGACAGAGGCAGAGGAGGAGACAGAGACAGAGAGAGATAGAGAGGAGGGAGATGGAGAGAGAGAGAGAGAGAGAGAGAGAGAGATAAAAACAGGGAGAAAGATAGAGCTTCCACAATTCACCCCTGTAGCACTGTAGCACTGTCTTCCCATTGTTCATAGATTTCCTCAAGTGGGCCCAGTAACATCTGCATTGTGAGACTTGTTGTTTCTGTTTTTGGCATATTGAATATGTCATAGGTAGCTTGCCAGCCTTTGCCATGCGGGCAAGATACTCTCAGTAACTTGCCTGGCTCTCTGAGAGGGGTGGAGGAACCGGACCCTGCTCAGGCGGCGTGCAAGGAAAACGCCCTACCGCTGTGCTACCCCTAGGAAAATTAAATCATCATCTCAGAATGTCACCCAGTTGTGTCTGCTTGTCTATTTCCCTTTTTATTTCAGTGTGAATCAGAAATTACTGAATATCCATTCAAGCTATTAAATAATATTTGTTTGCAACTACTCTGGGACTCAAAAACTAAAATTAAACTCAAAGAAAAAGATTAAAAATTTAGGAGGGCAAAGAATAATTAATAGGAAAAATAAGGAGCCAGAGCAATAGTAAAATGGGTAGGGTGACAGCCTTGTACACAGCTGATGTTGTTTGATCCCCAGTACCCCACAGGGTCCCCTGACCTGTCAGGAAACATCCCTGATCATGGGATCATGAGCAAGTCCTGAGCACCACCAGAAATGACTCAAGAACAAAAATTTAAAAAGAAAAACATTGAGGAAAACTAGAAGTTTAAGGATGATCCAGAGCACGCCTGAAACATTTTTTTATGTTGCAAGGAGGCTAACTTATTTCACAAGATTGCAATGGGAGTTAACGGACAAAATAATTAACAAATCCATTTTTTACTATTAAAAACAACAATATAATATAAATGCCAAGCAACCATGCTTCCAACGTAGCCCTGCCCACATGGTAATGTGATCTCTGATTCCATGGCTTTCAGATTCTAGTTCAGTATGGCTTCTTCTCTATGGCTTCATCCGCCCTATTTTTCTACCCCTCTCAGTTAAGAGAACCTATGAAATAAAATCATCATTCTGGTCTTCAGTGTGGAACTCTAATATAAACTAAATAATTTTCATGAAAGACTGACATCCTGTGCATTCTCCAAAGCAACATGCTATGTACAAACTGAAGAGTGTACTTCTAAAGATCTAGATGAAGGCAGGAAGAGAGAGCGGTAAGTGCGAGTCCATAAGAAATATCTCCTCCAATAAACGTTCCATGCTCCAGGGAACCCAAGACCTTGTGAAAAAAAAAAAAGCCATCCATAAAGAAAAAGTCACCAGTTCTGGGGCTGGAGAAGCAGCACAGCAAGTAAGGCACTATTTGCCTTGCATGAGGCTGACCCAGGTTCAATCTCCAGTATCACATCTGGTTCTCTGAGGACTGCAAGAGGTAATTC